CCCTCGGACGGGGGCGCTGCCGCGCTTCCCAAGCGGCGCACTATCCAGTGCGCCACCGGGCCGGCCAAGACTGGGTAATTTCTAAGGAAAAGAGGTTTATTTGGCTTATGATTCTTGGACAGCTGCATCTGGCAGGGACCTCAGGCTGCTTCTGCTTATGGTAGAAAGTAGCAGGCAGCCGGTGGGTACAAACAGATCACATGGTGAGAGGAAGTGAGAGAGAGAGAGAGAGAGAGAGAGAGAGAAGGTGCCAGGGTCTTTTAAGCAACCAGCTCTCACAGGAACTAATAGAGTGAGAACTCACTCATTAATCCCCACCTAGGGAGAGCATTAATCCATTCATGAAGGGTCTGCCCTGATAGAGTTTGTATGTGTTGTCCCCTCCAAAACTCATGTGGAAATCTGATCCCCAGTGTAACAGTGTTGGAAACTGACTGAGTCATGGGGGTGGATCCCTCATGAATGGATTAATGCTTTCCCTAGGTGAGGAGATTAATGAGTGAGTTCTCACTCTATTAGTTCCCACGGGAGCTGGTTGTTTAAAAGGCCCTGGCACCTTCTCTCTCTCTCTTGCTTCCTCTCGCCATGTGATCTGCTTCTACCTGCTGGCTGCCTGCCACTTTCCACAATGAGTAGAAGCAGCCTGAGGCCCGTGCCAGATGCAGCTGTCCAAGAATCGTAAGCCAGATAAACCTCTGTTCTTTATAAGTTACTTGGTTTCAGGTATTTTTGTCATAACAACACAAATGGACTAATACATGCCCCTATGGTTCAAACAGCTTACAGCACTGCCACATTGGGGATCAGATTTCCATGTGAGATTTGGTGGGGACAATACATCCAAACTCTTATCACCTGAATACCCATTAGCAACCACCCTTTGCACCTGCCTGTCTGTGTGGGCAGCACTGGTGTGTACCTAAGGTGCTTTTCTCTGTACCACTTGCTTCTGCCCCTGAAAGAAGGTACGGAGTTTAGTGTATGCACAGTGTCTTTGGTTCCTTGCCTAAGGTTGAGCAAGAGTGGTACTTGTTATATTGAACTGCTTATCTTCAACTGCTAATGTTTGTACAACATGCCATTCCTGTGGAATCTTGGGGACAAGAGTGACATTTGAGAAGCCATCCTTTCATCCCTCTGTCCTTGGGCAGAATGGCCCCCTACTTAGAGAGCTAATTGTCCTCAGATAGCCAGTAGATTCCACACTCTGCTTTAGCAGTTCATGCCACCATTGTACTTTGTAATGATCGGGAGAACTGACTTTGTGGGCCCTTGTGTCTCTTTCAGGTCTAACTTCAAACTCGTGGCTGTTAATTCAAAACTCTATGCCATTGGTGGGCAGGCTGTTTCTAACGTTGAGTGTTACAACCCCGAGCAGGACGCGTGGAATTTTGTGGCACCCTTACCAAATCCTCTGGCTGAGTTCTCTGCCTGCGAGTGCATGGGGAAAATCTATGTCATTGGAGGATATACAACCAGAGGTAAGTGAAGGGGCCAAGCTTATGTGTAAGCTTCAGCAGCTGGGGAAGGGTAGGGAGGTGCAGAGGAAATGCTTCAGTGTACATGAGTGTGATTTATGCATTAAATACTATATATTTACACATCTGAAAGAGAGACCTGTATGACAGGTGGTTTAGACAGGAGGGGCCTTTGATGACCTTGTGAGCCCATGAAAATCAAATGGGGTAGGGGGAGCTGTGAAGAAAATATGTATTTTCTTTCTGCTTCTGGAGACCCAGCCTTGTGGTCAGCAACCTTGTGACTTGGCTGGGCCTGGTTTGTGGAGGTTGCTCGGGTCTCTCAGCTGCTGTGTGAGGAAGGGTAGGTCTTTGGAGGAGAGCATTACTTGGGCAACACCCATCTTTCTCCCGAACACGTACCAAATCCACCCCCATCCAACCCTATGGAATTTAGTGCCAGAGCATCCTTGCAGATCTTTGTTTTCATTTTTTTCCCTCTGAGCACAAACACATCAGATATAGGTTCTGGAAACCCAGCTCTGGGGCATCGTTCACATATCATAGGAGGAGCAAGAACATGAATATGAGAGAATTCTTTCCTGACCAGCAGCAGGAGGTAGTTGTGCTGTTTATTAAACTGTGCATGTGTGTTTCTCACTTTTTGGTTGGCATTTTGTAGTTAATAATTTGGAGGG